TGTACACAATTCAAAACCTCTAACAAAGATAAAATAGAGAAATATAAATGTGCTATTTTGTCGCATAGTTCTTGTATGTTACTGGTGAATCCTTTTGTAATTCTATCACTGTTGAGTTCACCTTCTTAAATACGGTTGTCGAGATCTTTAGGCACATTCATAAAAGAGGGCTAAGAACTATTTACATATACGTTAAAATTCAGTAATTTAAAAATAATTCATTAAAACAGAGAAAGATAATAATAGACTGGCTCACCCGTAGACAAACCGTCAGGTAGCTTACAGACCGACGAGCGCAGTCAGCTGTTAATCAGGTGGATGTCAACGTCTTGGTTTCGTCGCAGGTTGTTGCTGGCCGCCTGGCAAAGGGCAGAGGCCGAGCCAGACGAGAACATCACAGAGGAGAACGAGTACCACCTCCCCACTTTCTACAGCAAGGACCACCCCCCAGGTAGGTGGTCCTCGGCCGGCGGAAAACACAACGCGATATAAAGGATGACTAAATGCAGAATATATCAACACTGGCTCTCTTTCGCTTTCTCTCTCTCTCTTTCACTTTCTCTCTCTCTCTCCTAGTGTATCATGCATCTCTCTCTCTCTCTCTCTCTCTCTCTCTCTCTCTCTCTCTCTCTCTCTCTCTCTCTCTCTCTCTCTCTCTCTCTCTCTCTCTCTCTCTCTCTCTCCCCCCTCTTTCTCTCTCTCTTTCAGTTCCTCTATCTCTCTCTCCCTCCCTCCCTCTCTCCATGTCAGGTTTTGTTTTCCACTGGCTTTGGTGGGTGTATGGAGACACAATTCTGCATTGGCTGTTTAGTGATAAGAGGTGGTAGGTAGCGTGGCGTGGCTATGTCTCATGCTGGTGCAAGGGGAGCCCAGAGGCGCGCCGAGCAGAACGTGCGTGGGGAGAGCCCCAAGGGGCTGTCCGGTCAAAGCAGAGACCCGGGGTCAAGTGACCTGTAGCGTTGAAGAGTGGGTCAAGAGTCACCAGCGCGTGGCTAGCAAACCCTCAGACTCCCTCTTTCCCTCTCTCCTTCTCTCCCTCCCTCCCCCTATCTCTCTCTCTCCCTCTCTCACCCCCCTCTCTCTCTCATACCCTCTCTCTCTCTCTCTCACCTCCTCGGAGGAACAGAGGGAGGAGGTAACAAGCCTATTTGAAATGAGAGCACGAGCACTATATGGAGATTGAAGAGATGAAGATATAGGTGAAGAAAAACATATGTGAATGTCCTTGGCAGGCTTCGAACAGTAGTTTAAGAGGTCGGAAATAGGGAAGGATAAAGCATGTCCCTCTATTTCTATAAGGATAAAGGTGTGTGGGACGCTAACCATGTAGTATGAGTTGATTGTTTTGTGTGGGAAGAGGTGAACGCGGTAAGCCCTAACGACAGTAGAAGGACGCACCGGAATAGTAACAGAGAGCCCAGCAACAGTGAGGAAAAGCGTAAAACCGAGTGCATTGTCCAAGAGGGAAGAGAGTCTTGACAGAAAAAGAAGACACATTATGAAGTACCGTGTTCATGTCGGCATATGAAATCAAGGTTGGCAAGACCTCGCCGTGCGCCGCACGAACGATGGCCGTTGCCAAGTTATTAATTCACTGTGTAATTTTATTAACTGTATGTTGGTAAGAGAAGACATTTAAAGTAAGGTGAGAAACTTCATTGAGGAAATGACATATAATATCTGACTAATAAGCTAACTCTCGAAGACTGATAAAAAGGGATGAATGCAGTATGATATGCAATAGTATGAATGCCAATGAGAGGGGGATAACCTATGGTTCCTGGCACTGATGTTACTGATCACCTAGCTTCAGTGCATCAAAGTGCAACCACTGCACAGAGCCATCAGCAACAGACTTACACTCTGCCTTGTTCTTTACTGCCACAACTCTGTAAGGTCCCACAAATAAGCTTAGGCCGAATAGCATTATGTGTATGATTTCTCTTAAATACCAAAGCACCGACTCCGATACTCTTTGCCAATCGATTTTGTGCTGGTACTCAATGATCCTATCACGCGACCTAGTCAGTAGCGCCTTTGCCTGCTGAAATGCTTGCTGTTTCCGAGAAACCAAATAATTAGCATAGTTGTCCGCATAGAGGGGACGCGGTTTCATCTCCAAGAGTTTGCAAGGCAACCGCTTGTCTTGCCCTTTGAGAAGAAAGTGCGGGCTATCGCCTAGAGAAGAGTGACAGGTAGAATTGATGTCCGACTGGACGGTGGGGAGAAGAGCATCCCAGTTGTCGTCCACCAATTGACGCAGATTTGTAAGGATAGATATATTAACACGTTCCGTAACACCATTAGCTTGCGGGCGGAATGGCAAAACATTTACCTGCATCACATTCAGCTGCTGTGCAAAACGCTAAGACCTGATTGACAAACTCTGTACCATTATCCGAGCTTAAATATTGTGGATAGCCTCTGGAGTGATAGAGTGTTCAACCATATGATGAGTTCTGCCTAATAGACAGTCCTTGGTCGGTAAAATGCCGGGGAATTGATTTAGTAATTTACTGAGGGTCTCCTTACCCTCGCTAAATGCGAATGGTCCCTGCATAACCTTTGCAAATGCTGCAGCGAACAGGTCAGCTGAATTGGTGGAATTAGAAGAAACAGCGCCAGAGAAAACTGACGCGGGAAGCTCAAATTCAGCAATCGGGAGATCCGTAATTTCACAATCAATTAACCTAATACCACTATCAATTGACAAAGGGGCAGGTGTTAAGTTCATCACATGGACTTATGTACTTCCATTCTGCAAGGTATACAGAGAGGGGAGAATACATGTCTCTTTTACACGACAATTTTCACGGAGGACCAAGAATGTACCATCATTACTTGCCGAGGCTGTCTCATTAATCAGAACATCATGAAAAAGTGACTCCCGCGCGACTAAGTGCGCCAAAACATCGTTGTCAACCCACGTGTTATGTTTTGATGAATGAGGTGATGTGGTGGCGATGTTTGTGCGTGAATTGTCTGTAGCATGCTGAGCAGAAGAAATTTCAGGATAGACAGAATGAGGTCTAGACTGAAGAGTGGAAGTCACAGTATGCGACGGCGGTGGAGGAGGTTGTGGAGAGACAGAAGAGGGAGGAGGAGGGGTTAGAGAAAGAGGAGAGGAGAGTGGTGTATCATCCATTATCCATCATACATGATGCATGGTTGAATCTGCGAGACGTGTTAACATTTGTCATAGGTGCGGAATCAAGCATGCTAGGGTGAAAAGGGTCTGGATGTTTCCAAATGGAACTCAGCTCACATAGCTTATAAACCGTAGACCCATACCAGGATGAAATAGAAAATAATGGCCAAGAAGCAAGTGGCCGGGGAAACTATAGTAACCCTTAACTACGACGAACTGATGAGGAAATTTGGTTTCCAAACCTCAATGTTACATACGTAGTCCAAATGACACCTCGCTCAGAGCCTGTCATGCCTCTAACACAAACGTTAGCTGGCGATACCTCAGACGAGAGCCGAAAGTCCTCTTACATCCGTTCACTCACGAGACTGACGCAACTTCCTGTATCAGTAAAAAAGTGTGTGACCTTCCCGTTACGCTCAGCAGGTAAGAGAGGGGCCCTGATCTTGCGTTTGTTACACCAGCATTAGCAACACGTGACCGAGATTACGCAACTACCAACTACACCGGAGACCAATATACTTCCTCGCCTGGCTCCAAGCTTCCCGTTTCTTCCTCTAAAAAAAATTAACTACTCGCTTGTATGCACCTCTGTTAATCTTGGCGATAAATTTAAGAGATCGCTACCTTATCTGGGAACCATGTGCACTCAAAAGCATGCCCATGCACACAGACGGACGATGCATCCTCAAACATCGACGCCACTGCCAAGATTTCGGTGCCCAATTTGCTCAGTGTGGTTTACGGGCAGCAATCGGGGGAGAAGGAGCTACAAACTATTGCGGCCCAGAGGGAGGCTCTTGGTAGTATCATATCATCTGATGCCTTGTAGGATATACTTATGTATCCTAAATTTGGAATGTAGTATCACATGACCACATATCACATGTTACAATGCCTTTCCACGGCTAAGTTGATAGTAGATAGATTACTGTGTGATTGTTCTTTTCTTTTAAATTAAAATTTATAGATCGTGATAGTGTTATAGCCTAAATTTTCAATGTAATATTATTACATACGGCCGTACTATAAAAAAAATGAGACAGGCAATGCCCGACGCTTCGCCAGGCGATCCCGTAGTCGGTACCATAAGACCCTACTTTCCCTTCGCCTGGCGTTGCCAGCCGCTAAAGGGTCGAATTTTCGTACCACAAAACAACACTCGCGGTAGACAAAGTATTGGAACATCGCCCGACTAGGTAAGCCAGTTATACGCGACGGCGCCCCAACTGCTGCTACCTCATCTCGGCCGAAGAGGACCTCCTAGCCTAGCTCCTGGCAGACGGCGAGCGCGAACTCCTTCGGCTCTCCGCCAGGTACCAAGTCCAGGCCAACCCTGGCACGGATTCGCTACTCTTTCATCGCCACTTTCGTAAGTATTTCTCAATAAAGTTAAACTGAATTAATTTTCATTAATAACAACTAAAAATTTACGTGTTCTTTATTTGGGTTGTACTAATTGTAAAAGAGAAGGTGATTTTATAATTTCCCTCTTTTATTATTACTAAACCATACTTTGTTGCTTTCTAAGGCGCAGTTGTAGAAAGCATCGCGAACGTAGCTGCCATCCCTAAAATAAACACATAGCAGGTAAGAAAAATGTTGACAGTTATTGTTACCATATCATGATTTTTTTTTAAAAAGTGAGTAAACGTGTTTTGCGCATTTAAAGTAAATGACTATGCTCCTCAGTGAAGATATGAGATGGTACCAAACTCGTCTTGGCATTGGCCATTTAATCAACACTTTGAGAGGTTTTACTGGTGCATGTCCAGTTTCATACAGCCGCCTTTTAGATGAAAAATAATATATGCAAACGATAGAGCGGGTGATTCTGAGAAACTTATCTTCTATGAACTTCAACCGCAACTCAAACATAACAAAGTTAATGGACATCATATTGGTTTGACTAGTTGTTAATTGTTTATTAAATTATCAGGAAAATCGAAAAGCACAATTTTCTTAGAAAATACGTTTTGAGTTAACTTGTTATTAGTGGAGGCTTGGCAATACACGAATGTGATGAACATTTTAACCAATCACATTGTTACTTACTTGATATTGGCAGAATTTGCCATTAAGTTTATTTACAATGCTAACCCATTATTTTCCGAGCACATTTTATGACCTTTCCAAGTACTCTAACCTAGCTTTCATTTCAAAGTCAGATGCCATAGTGAAAATACATTAGTCGTAAAACTCCCAAAGATTTTAATAAATATAATGTTTCAGAAATGGCTGCAGCATTCGATGAATTATAGTGTCTTGAAGCCCTTGAAGACCTAGATGCTGCAGACCAACAGGATATTCCCAGAAGATGCATCACTGACAGGATGAATCTTTCCCATTCTCTGCATGATGAGGAGTTCATCAAAAGATTCCACTTATCAAAAACAACAGCACTCAATTTACTAGACACGCTACAGATTCAAGAAACTCGAGATGGGAGAGGTAATATTGACTTTGATTGAGCCAGTTGAATTATTTTATATTAACAGCATTATAACGTTTGCTTGTATTATTTGAAATGCAGTTGTAAGTTTTTTTTTAAAGAAAATCCAAATGAAATTTCTAAATATCAACACAAATACATAGATAAGCAAAGGTTATTAAGTAAGTCTTGATAAATAAAACATTTTTAGTGTGATCATGATAATATATCAATGTTGACATTTTGTAAATAACTAAATAATTATCTGCTGATACGGTTATTAAAATGTTCTAAATATGTATGAGTTTTATAACAAGGGTTATATTTAGAGAATAGTGATTTATTCTGAACGTCAAAATCTAAAATATGTTGCATTTCTTTTCAGGATCACCAGTACCACCCCACCTACAGCCGTTAATTACATTGCGATGGATGGCCACTGGTAGCTTCCAGTTAACTATTGCTGACACTTTTGACATTTCACAACAACTTGTGAGCAACTGCACAGCCAAAATTGTCCGAGCCATTGCATCTCTGCTACAAGATTATGTGAAACGACCATCGAGAGAACATTTTTCTAACATCAGGAATTATTATTTTGAAATGTCTGGTTTTCCTGGGGTATTGGGTGCAGTTGACTGCACACATATACCTATCCAGAGTCCTGGAGGTGCTAGGGCAGAAGAGTTCAGGTACAGAAAGGGATTTTTTTTCTCTGAATTTTCAGGCAGCTTGTGGACCAAATTCAGAATTTTTTGACTTTGTGTGTCGTTGGCCTGGCTCTGTTCATGACAGCAGAATATTTAATAATAGCAGATTATTTTTTGATCTTCAACATGATCTGCTAGAAGGGCATCAATTTTTAGGTGACAGCCTATCCACTGCTACCATTCCTCCTCACCCCAGTGGCAAATCCTGTTGGCCAGAGAAATCAGATACAATATATCACATTCAACATCATCATCATCAAGGGGGCTGACGCCGACGGGGGCGCATAGCCGCATCCACCCTTCGCTTCCACCTATGAGGATCCCTCATGGCTAGACGCCAGGCAGGGACTCTGCCCATCTCTATTTCTTCACGGAAGGTTTGGTCGATCTGCCCAAGCCACGACCTCCTCGGTCGTCCCACAGGCCTCCTCCACCCAGGGTTGTCTCGAACAGAGACGACCTGATGGGCAGGATCATCCTGAGGAAAGCGAGCCAGGTGGCCGTATAGCCTGAGTTGGCGATCACGGATTGTGCAGATAACAGGTCCTGTGCCAGTCTCACAGTGCAACCGTTGGTTGGACACATGGTCCCACCAACAGTACCCCATGATCTGGCGCAAGGACCTATTGCAAAAGGCTTCAAGACGAGCCTCCAAGGCACAGGACAATGTCCAGGTTTTGCTACTGTATAGCAAAACTGGTATTATCAGGGCCTTGAAAACCCGTAGCTTGGTCCTTCTGCACAGGTATCGACATCTCCAAATACTCTTGTTGAGAGAGTTCATGACCCCTACTGCCAGGCCAATCCGTCTGCTGACTTCATGGTCTGACAGCCCAGAGTTATGAACTACACTACCAAGGTATGTAAAGCTCTCTGTGACTTCAATGTCCTCGCCGCAAGCACGTACCGACTGAACAGGTTCTAACAAGTCCCCAAATTCCTGGACCTTTGTCTTGGTCCAGGAGACCTCTAGACCCCAGGGCTTCGCTTCATTGCTAAATGCATCGAGAGCCGCCACTAGGGTTTCCAAAGACTCAGAATGGCAACGTCATCAGCAAAGTCAAGGTCTGTAACCTTGATATTGCCCAGCGTTGCTCCACAATGACTTTGAACAGTAGCTCTGCCCAGTATCCAGTCCATGCAAGTGTTGAAAAGAGTTGGTGCAAGGACAGGAAAGAAGCTCGACAGGCCCCCACCACACTTTACAGCACTTTCAGTACCAGTATACAGGTTTGCTATTAGTCCAATAATCCTTGTTGGTATTCCTCTCAGCCTCAGGATCTCCCAAAGTGACTCCCGATGCACCGTATAGAACGCCTTCTTGAGGTCGATGTAGGCTGCAAGCAGCCCACGCCCGAACTCACGACGGCGCTCTACAATGACTCGAAGCGCGAGGATACGGTCTATTGTGGACTTACCAGGAGTGAATCCGGATTGCTCCAGTCTCTGGTGCCTCAGTAGATGGTCTCTGATACGTCTCAGAAGGATGTGGGCGAGAACCTTGCCTGGTATACTGAGCAGTGTGATGCCTCTGTGATTGCTGCAGTCCCAACGGTCCCCCTTCCCCTTCCAGAGAGGGATGACCACACCCCTCAACAGGTCAGGAGGAACGGAACCGGACCGCCAGATGGCAGCCAGGACAGCATGTAACCCCCGAGCCTTTAACAGTTCAGCTGGTATGCCGCAGATACCCGCTGCTTTACCATTCTTCAGCTTGGAAATCGCCCCCCTAACTTCAGTTAGAGAGGGAGGGTCCTCACTGATAGGTGGATCCGGCAGCGGGATCTCGACACTACCCGCATCCAAGTTAACTGTTGGTGGGTCAACCTGGTACAGTTGCTCAAAATACTCAGCCCAACATTCCCGCACCGCAACAGTATCTGAAACGATCTGACCACTTACTGAGCGAACTGCTGTCACCTGTGAAGAGGGCTTGGAGTTCAGCTTTCTCAGGGCTTGGTATGCAGGACGAAGGTCATTTACTAAGAAATGTCCTACTTCCTCTGCAAGACTCCTAATAAACTGTTCCTTGTCCCTTAACAGGGACCGAGTTCTGCGCACATGAGAACGGTGCAATTCCCGATCCCCTGTCAGACGAGCTGCACGACATGCATCTGTGGCTTCCAGTGTCCCCTGCGAGATGGAATTCTGTACTGCTCTCGGGCGTACACCAATCGTATCTTGAGCTGCATCAAGCGTTTCACGCTTAAAGGTATCCCACAGAAGAACAGGGTCTGTCAGACTGCCAAGCATTGCGAAACGATCAGAGATTGCCTCAGCAAACCGCGGGGCACACTCCCCCTCCCTCAGCCTGTCCAAATGAAACACCCTAGGGTGATCATTTGACTGCTGGGGGGTTTTGAAGTGGACCCGGAGGGTAGCCACAACCAATCGATGGTCAGTACCACAGAACTCAGCACTCCTGTACCCTGCAATTCTGGGCCTCCAACGAGTGCTAACGAGTATGTGGTCGATCTCTTTGGCTGCATTACCCACATCACTGTACCATGTCCAGCGATGTGGGTCTGGGCGCTGGTACCAGGAGCCAGAAATCCTCAATTTCTGGGACCTAGCAAAGTCCCGGAAAAGGAGGCTATTCTCGCTACCGGCATCAGCTCCTGAACCATGGGGACCGACAGACATCTCATAGCCAGCTCGATCACAGCCAGATACCGCATTGAAGTCGCCCAGAACAATGCGAATATCTCGTCGGGGACATCTGTCTACCACAGATGTAAGTTTGGCGTAGAACATCTCTTTCACGTCAAGTTTACAAACATCGGTAGGAGCGTACACAGCAATAAGGGACATGAAGCCAAAAGATAGCTTCAATCTCAATACCATTATACGCTCATCAACAGGAGTAACCTCTACTACCGAGGGCTGGAGTCTGCTGGAGATGGCAATGGCCACTCCCTGGAGATGGTGGCCATCGCTGCGGCCCGACCAGTAATAGGTGTAGCCACCTACACAGGTCATGCCGCTGCCAGGCCTCCTCACCTCCGAGAGAGCAGCCACCTCAACTCTCAGCCTCCCCAATTCCCTCGACAGTAGTGGCAACCGATCATACTGACACAAAGAACGGACGTTCCAAGCCCCCACCCTGACTTCCCGCCTGAGGTTCAGCCTCTGGCAGTCGCTCCGGGTGGATGCCACCGAGGGCTTTCCCCCACAAGCTTCACTCTGGGCTGGCGGCCACCAGAGCGCAGGCGAGACGAGTAGTTCCCGTTCCCAGCCTGCACTCCAGCAGTCGCCCTCCCAGCAGGGCCCACAGTCCGCCTCACTTGCTGGGTGGGAGGGGCTTTTCCCCTCCTCCCAGCCTCTCCATTTATAAGAAGCACTGCCGATTGGTTATATCTGGGGGGAGGAGGACTGGCAAGGCCCACCTCCCCCGAGCCTCCCATTAACCCCAGGGGGCTAGGGGGCAGGAGTTGGTACAGGGCCAGGGCGTGTCCACACGCCGGTGGGCCTTGACCCTGAACCTCTGGGGCCTCCTGCTGCTCCGAGATCCCCCTCAGTTTAGCCTGGAACCGCAAGGTACCCAGTTTCCATGGGAGGCCATGAGGAGGCACTGCAGGGAGTCTCGATGATGGAGAGGCTATGCACTGGCAGGGGGAGGCTTATGCAGAGCTGCTCCCTTTTTCGCACGAGGCAAGCCAGCGGTGGCAGCTGTAAGCGAGAAGGCATGCAAAAGCTCTTAACACTAACTAGACTACCACTCCATCGCTTCACACCACCCTGCGCATGAAGCACCCACCCATAATAATATCACATTCCAAAGCACGAAATACCATTGAAACAGCATTTGGTGTTCTGAAAATGAGATTTAGGTGTCTCCCCATTCCATTGAAAATCAATTTAACAACAGCCATGGCGACTATTTGCAGTGCAGCTGTCTTGCATAATGTGGCTGTCAAATATAAAGATCTGTACATGTGTAAAGATGATGGAGAGGAAGAAAGTGTAAATATTGAAGAAAATATAGAACACTTTGTAAATGATGTCGGTCGACAGAAGGGAAATAATATCATTAATGAATATTTTTCTTAAATGTTTCATGCCAAAATGCCATTTTTTCTTTTGATATTTTTATGCTTTGCTTAAATTAACCATATGACAGTTATGATTTTGATTGTACACTATAGCAGTCCTCAGGATATGACAATTATGATTTATTTTGACTGTATATTATACTATTCCTCATGATATAAGTTTTTATTTATTCTGATTGTACATTTTACTATTCCTCGTGATATGAAAATTATGATTTATTTTGATTGTTCATTATACTATTCCTCATGATAATGCCCATGTCTGTGATATGCAAAATTTATTATATCTTGAATATAATGGATAATAAAAACATGAAAATTAATATTGTTTCCTTTATCAAAATAACAATTAATATTGTTTCCTTTATCAAAATAACAATTTCTGCTTATTGCAAGTAGATTGGCAAATGTTTCAAGTATGATGGTATAAAAGCAAGTAAAGTAAGGTGTATGTCATGAATTATTTATAGTAAATAAATAACCTTAAAATACAGCATTCATCCAAAACCAAATTTGAGTGACACAAAGAAAGAAAACTGAAAACTTGTATCAATGAAAAAGATTGCAAAGCATCGAGACATAATCCTGGTGGCAGGATAACATTTAATATGATTTAAGAGTCCAGCTCCAGTTTCTTCTCCCAAAACATTCTTTTAGCCCTTAGCATATGCATTTTTCTTGGTGGTATTCTTCCAAATGCTCGTGTTCGTTTGTTTAACATAGTTTCTAAATCGATCTTATGTTTATAGTACCTTTCAATAGCACATGAGATTTGAATTTGTGATTTCTGTTTTTCAGTTTTTGCCCTTAGTTTCTTTCTTAGTTTCTTATATGGGCTTTCCCTTTTCTGTTGATTTTCCAACGGGTCCACTAATAAGTTATAATTCAATATCACCAATGTCACTGCAGCATATTACTTCACTTGAGGTTAAGTTGCTGGTTTCACCTATATTAGTCGTCTGTGAAGTAAAAGAAAGATTTCTAGCTTGGGAGTTATCTGAAAAAAAAAAAAATGAGATATATGATATACAAATAAGTATTTCTGACTGTCATATACACAAATCTTTGATGACATTAATTTTATCA